AGAAGGGAAACGTGGCCCCAACCGAAATTAAAGTTGAATATATCTGTTTTATTAGCCAGGTTGCTTCAGGGGACAAAAGTCCCGTTCGGGAAAGGGAGGTTTAACTTTTAAGAAATGGATTTTTGAGACTCAGAAACGAAGGAGCAGTTAATGTCTGCTGAATTTTTTTTCATTGTAGGAATTTAGGGAGAGTCCTACAGCAAATACCAGCTTTGTTTCTAATGGAGCTAGTTTGTATGCCAACAGCCAATTTTTGCTCTCCTCCACCACCTCCTCTTTGACAGTAGACATTTATTTTCCTTTTTTTAAAAAAACTATTTCGATGAAGGAAAAAATTCTTGAAACATGAACGCTCTCATACAGTTTGGCGCCCTTGAGTTGGCTTCATAAAGATAGTGTCTCAAATAGCTTAGGTTTTTATGTATATTCTTTCTTCTGCCTCTTCTCTACAACCGTTAACCTAATTTAGGCTTTGTTCATGCCTTGCCGTGAGTAATCCGTTCTTTAATGGTGGCTTACGCCGTGATCTACCAAATCAGTGAAGCCACAAATGATAGATTGTAGTTCACAACGGCCGGTTCTTCTGGCACTCTTAACCCAAAATCAGAGAAAGTGTTTTGTGACCTAGAGCAAAGTTTCTCAAACTTGGTAACTTTAAGATGTGTGGACTTCAACTCCCAGAATTCCCCAGCCAGCATTTCTAAAGCAATGTGTGAATGTAGCTGTTCATATCTACAGTTTCTTTTCCTTAGGTTGGATACTTATTTTTCCACAAACTTGTTTTCTATAAGTAGTCCTCGAGTTATGATCAATTGCTTAACGGTTGTTCGAAATTAGGCTGTCTCTCCCTAAGTCAGGGGTAGGCAACCTTGGCTCTTTTATGACTCGTGGACTTCAACTCCCAGAATTCCTGAGCCAGCCATGCTGAGGGGAAAGGGAGAGTTTTCCAAGCCGAGCCATGCTGGCTCAGGAATTCTGGGAGTTGAAGTCCACGAGTCATAAAAGAGCCAAGGTGGCCTACCCCTGACTTAGGGGGTACTTGCAACTTGGATTCAAAGTTCTGTCAGCTAATCCCCCCTCACCCCTCAGAGTCATGTACTCTGAGTGCTTGGCAGTTATGGCCGTTTGTAGCATCCTATGACTACATTTTAAAATGGTTTTGTGGAAAAACGGCATTTACTTTCAGTTTCTGGCAAAACCAGCCAATCATGAACCATGGGTTTGCTTAATGACGAGTGCAAAAAAGATGGTAAAATCTGGTCCAACCCAATTCATGACTGTCACAACGTACGACAGCACTGAATGCTCACCGTTAGAATTGTAACTCAAGGATTACCTGTATCCCTCTGTTAGGATTTTTTCCCAAGCTCTTTTCTCTTGTACTTACTTGGCACAAAAATTATCATTTTTAACCTAAAGTCCTTCTATTATCTGCTCTCGTGGAAACTCGTGTATGTCAAATGTTTCCTGCTGAACAAGATATGAGTAAATCTCTTCCTACAAAAGATTTCAATTTCTGCAAAGAACCAGTTTCTACAAAGCTTATCAGGAGATGTATCTGTTGCAAGGCTTGTATTTAACATTCGGATTACACAATTGCTTAGTTTTTGTTTTTTAAAAAAGAAAAACAATGCAGGGATCAGCGCTGCACAATTTTCCATGTCAAAAGTGGAGCTTTGGTTCCTTTTTTCAACAATGAAGGTAGTCCTTGACTTACAACCAGAGTTGAGGCCAACATTTCTGTTGCTAAACAAAATAAACCATCCAGTTGCCTTTTGAAAAAGCATTTTTGAGCTAAGCGAGACAGTTGCTAAGCGGGTTTTGCCCTGTTTCACCACTTTTCTTGCCACAGTTGTTAAGTGAATCACTGCAATTGTTAAGTTGCAACACGGTTAAGTGAATCTGGCTTCCCCATTGGCTTACCTTGTCAGAAGGTCACAAAAGGGGATCATACGACCCCAGGGATACTGCAACCACCACCACCACCACCACCACCACCATCATCATCATCAAGTTGGAAGGGACCTTGGAGGTCATCTAGTCCAGTGGTTCTCAACCTTTTTAATGCCGCGACCCCAACCGGTCGTAAGTCGAGGACTAAACCGGTCGTAAGTCGAGGACTAAACCGGTCGTAAGTCGAGGACTGCCCAACCGGTCGTAAGTCGAGGACTTTCCCTGCCCGGGAGCACCGCACATGCGTGGTTCCGCCCCCTGCGCCGGCTGAGGCGTAGCTGGCAAGTGGCAGAGACAGAGCAGGCCGACCACCAGCTGGCCCAGCCCTAGGGAGGTAAGGCACCCGCCGGAAAAGGGGAAAAAATGGTGGACAAAAAAAATGGCGGACAGCCTTGCTTGGTGACCCCCGTGAAATGGTCGATCGACCCCAAATGGGGTCCCGACCCACAGGTTGAGAACCACTGATCTAGTCCAACCCCCTGCTCAGGCAGGAAACCCTATACCATTTCAGACAAATGGCTGTCCAGTCTCTTCTTAAAAACTTCCAGTGTTGGAGCATTCACCGCTTCTGGAGGCAGGTTGTTCCACTGGTTAATTGTTCTCACTGTCAGGAAGTTTCTCCTTAGTTCTAGGTTGCTTCTCTCCTTGGTTAGTTTCCATCTGTTGCTTCCAGTTGCCAAGCATGTGAATTTTGATCACATGACCATGAGGGTGCTGCAATGGTCATTAAGTGTGAAAAACGGCCACAAGTCGCTTTTTTCAGTGCCCTTGTAACTTTGAATGGTCACTAAATGAATGGTTGCAAGTTGTGGACTACCTATAACTCAAAACTATATTGCAAGGGCTACCAATATGTTAAACAGATTAATACCTGGAGGATCAACCTATGATTACAAGATGAAAGAAGGAGCAGTAGCAGGGAGAGAGGAAATTATTCCATTTCAAGACATGGCTATGGAGATTCTCTGTCTATCCAGGTCATGGTTGTCCCAAAGATGCCTTTTTTCCAAGAGGCAACTGGACTTCCTTTGTTTTTCCTTGAAGAAGTTTCGCTTCTCATCCAAGAAGCTTCTTTAATTCTGACTGACTGAAAAACAAAGAAAGTCCAGTTGCCTCTTGGAAACAAAAAACAAAAAAAAAGCACCTTTGGGACGGCTATTCCAAAACAACTTCACAGTGACTGCTAAATCAAAAAGCAAATATACCTGTATCTAGGAAAAACAGTCTTACAAAAAAGCACAGTCAGGACAAAATGAAACCACAGGTGTTCCTCAAATTATGACCACAATTGAGCCCAACATTTATGTTGCTAAGTGAGAAATTTGTTAAGTCAGCTTTGCCCCATTTTACAACCTTTTCTTGTCACATCTCTTAAGTGAACCACTGTATTGTTCTGTTAGTAACACAGCTGTCAAGTGAATCTGGCTTCCCAATTGACTTTTACTTGTCACAAAATGGGATCACATGACCACAGGACACTGCAACTGTCATAAATATGAGTCAGTTGCCAAGCGGATGAATTTTGATCCTATGACCCTGGGGATGCTGCAATGGTCATAAGTGTGGGAAGTGGTCATAAGCCACTTTTTTCAGTGCCACTGTAACTTGAAATAGTCACTAAAAGAACAGTTGTAAGGACCATCTGTATGGTATATTAACTACCAAGTATGTTTCTAGCCTACTGGCCCCCAAGCCCAAATATAGTTTAAAGCTGTCTTGTTTTAAAACATTAATGTTTCAATATTTTCCGCGCCATTCAACTGTCAGGGAGAGATTATCTCATCAAACTCTCAAAGCACAATACTCCGCATAGATTAGGAAAAATTGAGACAACCACACATATAATCTATTATTTATCCATTTACTTGCTATATTTGAATTCAGCTACACTTTCAAAGCACTTATGAGGCCTTCGCTTAAGAAGAACAGCAATTATCAAAGAACAATCCCCAAACAGCGCATGAATAAATCATAACGTTATTATTGAAAGTCTGAAACTCAGAATCTATTTTAACTCTTATTTTAACAGCCTTTTTGAAAATCAAAAGTGAGGTCATTTTGCTAGTTCAGAGAGACTTCCACAAATAAATTGACATCTATCTCCTATCTCCCAAATATAGCTTGATTCCCAGCAATTCAGATTAATTTTATAGGCAGTCCCCGACTTACAGTCTGATGGTGTTGGGGCACCCACATGACCAATTTATTTTCACCATCCTTGTTGCAGCTGCCTTTTAGAGAATGTGACTATTGTGAAGGGGTTGCTACAATTGTTAAGCAAACACTGCAGCCATTAAGTAAACCAATGGTTTGCTGCAGGCCAGATTTGCTGAAAATAGCAATAACACTTAGTCATATATACCGCTTCATAGTGCTTTACAGCCCTCTCTAAGCAGTTTACAGAGTCAGCACATTGCCCCCCAACAATCTGGGTCATCGTTTTACTGAGTTCGGAAGGACAAAAGGCTGAGTCAAGATTGAACTGGTCAGGATTGAACTGCTGACTATGGGCAGTCAGCCTGGCTCTTACAAAAACAGAAATAAATACTAGTTTTCAGCAAATCTGTCATGAAATTCAGTCACATGACTGTGGGACACTACAAATGGACGTAAATCCATTTGTTGCTGGGTACCCAGTATGTGATCACATGACTGTGGAGAGGCAGCTGTCGGATCTTCAGAACTGGGCCCTAAGTACCCCCAGAGAGATCTGTCATAACTTTGATCAGTTGTAAATTGACCACTATCTGTATCTACATTTTCATTTAGCCAATTAATATCCCTGTGTATCAAACATCTGGATGAGACAATGCTTTTCATATTTGCCCTAATAGGCTGGATGTTTGTCTTATCCCTGGTTTGATCTACAAATTGCAAGTCATGAAAATCTTTAAAATTAATCAACCTGCAAACATATTCTTACTTAGGCGTCTTTCAGAGAAGGTGTTGTTATTGATTTAAGTAAGAAATAGATCTGCACCTTAAAATCCCTTTTTATAGCGATGACAAACCAAAACAAACAGCAGCAGAATTCACAGAAAACTTACCTCCACTTAGGAGCTTCATCACTAACCAAAGTTCATCTTTCACCACGAAAGAAGTATAGTATGAGACTATATTTGGATGGTGGCACTGACTCATTGCTTGAATTTCTTTCTGAAAGAGAGGAGAAAAAAGAAAGGAAAATCAACTTGCAGTTACTATTCTCTTTTAACAGACTTAACCATCCTAAGCTGAAGCAACAGGACACCAGCACAAAAACCTTCATTTACAGAGATTCCAATGTGTGGACTTTAATTCCCAGAATCCCCCCAGCCAGCACGGTCATTGCTGAGAATTCTGAGAGCTGAAACTTACTCATCTGGATTCTATCCAGGCTGGGAAATGCTAATATATAAGGAACAAAAGTTGAATCAAATCCTGGCTAAAAGGTAGAATTTGGGAATGGATTCCAGGCCCAGTCTTTGCAAGGATATCCCGGACAGATCGAACTACAATTCCCATAAACACAAGGGATGCAGCATTTGCTGGTGGGTGTTGGGTCTGCATTCCAATCGATGTACAGGTAGTCCTCGACTTATGACCACTCATTTAGCAACCGTTCAAAGCTATACGACTGCACTGAAAAAAAGGGACTTAGGACCTGTCCTCGCAGTTACAATTGTCACAACATCCCCAGGGTCACATGATCAAATTTTAGATGCTTGGCAACTGGCATGTATTTATGACAGTTGCTGTATCACGGGATCACTATTTGTGACCTTCCCAAGCAGCTTCTGACAAGCAAAGTCAATGGGGGAAACCAGATTTGCTTAATGACCATGTGATTCACTTAACAACTGCAGTGGATCGTTTAACAATGGTGACAAAAAAAGGTTGCAAAATTGGGCATGGCTCATTTAACAACCGTCTTGTCTAGTAACAGAGGTTCTGGTCTCAACTGTGATCTTAAGTCGAAAATTACCTGTAACTACAGGGAGAGAGCAAGCCAATCTGATTGTTTCAAATCATATTTCTACATTATTTTACAATTAAATTACAGGTAAATCTGTAAATAAATTACTTGTAAATTATTATTTGGGCTCCCAAGATGGAGCCCTGTTCCTTGGGGCCTCCCAGCTTCCTCTCTGTTTTCTTAAGAAAGTGATTTGGAAGTCTGCAACTGAAAGTTTAGCAGGTGTCCGGCCAACGGGTGATTTGTGACAGCTACAAGGCTTGCAGTACTCATGGTGAGGTTGCCCAAAATGTACTCCCCAAATTCCATGCCTGTAGTCCCCAAGGAGGTTCAGGAGGCCCGCTCCATTGTGCAATGTGCAAAAAACTCACCCACATCCAGCATACCAGGCAGAAAAGAACCAGCATTTCTTTTAGTTATTTTTTATCCCAACTTTGTTTGTATAACTAATTCAAGATAGCAACCGTATCTTATTATTCCTTCCTTCTCCTATTTTCCCCAACGGAACAACCTTTTGAGTTAGGTTGAACTGAGAGAGAGAGGGACTGATTCAAGTCACCCAGCCGGCTTTCATGCCTAAGTCGGGACTAGAACTCACCCTCTCCTGGGGATTGGCCCAAAGCCACCTAGTCAGCTTTCATGCCTTAAGGTGGGACTAGAACTCAACATCTCCTGGTGATTGGCCCAAAGTCACCCAACTGGCTTTCATGCCTAAGGCAGAACTAGAACTCCCTGTCTCCTAGTGCTTGGCCCAAAATCACTCAGATGGCGTTCTTGCCTAAGGTGGGACTAGAACTCACTGTCTCCCTGTTTCTAGCCTAGTGCCTAAACTACTAAACCAAACTGCCTCTCCAGTTTATTTTATTATTTATTCTTTACTTTCACTAAACAATGCTATCTCAGCAAGTGCTAGCACCGACTAACCTTTCCTGGGCATGGAAAATAAACAAGGTTTAATCTGGTTTATGGTTGGATGGGAGACCATCCCGGGAGATTTCAGAGCTGTAGGCTAGACTGGGCAGTTAAAAAACACCCTGGAAGGAAATAATAATAAACTGCTGATGTGCTTTTCCAAGGGGCTACAAGAGTTTGACTCGAAGGAAAGACTCCATTTTCCCAAGCACCAAGCTACTTGGGCGGATCTCCAAAACTGCAGTCCTGATGATTATGTAGAGAGGAAACAATAGGGATGCAGGACTACAGACTGAGAAACTGAAGAACATCCCGGAAAAAGCAATTGGAAAAAGTTGCCAACTTGTTTTCCAGCAAGCTACATGGATATACAACCAATCCTTGACTTACAATCTTTCATTTAGTGACCGTTCAGAGTTACAACAGCACTGAAAAGAATGACTTATGATTGTTTTTCACACTTACGACTGTTGCAACATCCCCACGATCACAGGATCAAAATGTGGGCGTTTGGCAACTGGCTCATATTTATGGTGGTTTCAGTGTTCCCAGGTCATGTAATCACTTTTTGTGACCTACTGACAAGCAAAATCAGTAGGGAAGCCAGATTCACTTAACAACCGCATATTAACTTAACAACTGCAGTGATTCACTTAACAACTGTAATCAAAAAGGTTGAAAAATGGGGCAAAACTCATTTAACAACTGTCTTGCTTGGCAATAGAAATTTTGGACTCAATTGTGGTAGTAAGTCAAGGACTACCTGTATAGTCCACCTAAGTCAAACTCAGCTCAAGAGAGACTTTTTAAACTGGATGTGCAATTTTTTTCTAAATGGAGAGAGAGAGAGGAGTTAAAAAAAATATAGAAGGACGCCATGCATCTGTCTGTGGACCCTGAAATACAAGCATAAAAGAAAACTATTCATTCTGTTGCTGAATATAGAGTTGGCTCTCAAGAGTCTCCTTGTTGACAATTCTGAATATACATAATCCTTGATTTAACCATTTGTTCAGCAACCATTCCAAGGTATGATGGTGCTGAATGAATTGTACTTATTACAGATCCTTGGAGTTGTCCTAGCAGTTTTGCAGTCACACGACTACAACAAATAACCAATGGAACAACCTGCCTCCAGAATGCTCCAATAGTGGAAGTTTTAAAGAAGAGACTGGACAGCCATTTGTCTGAAACGGTATAGGGTTTCCTGCCTGAGCAGGGGGTTGGACTAGATGACCTCCAAGGTCCCTTCCAACTTTATTATTATTATTATTATTAGATATGGGTGCTTGGCAATCAGATTGCATTTATGACTAATTGCAATACTCCATGATCATGAGATCAGTATTTGCAATCTTCCCTGATAGCTTCCCTAAAAAGTCAATGGGAAAGCCAGCAGGGAAGGTTGCAAGTCACTGAAGTAATAATAATAATAATAATAATAATAATAATAATAATAATAATAATAATAATAATAATAATAATAATAGTAATAATAATAATAAAGTTGGAAGGGACCTTGAAGGTCATCTAGTCCAACCCCCTGCTCAGGCAGGAAACCCTACACCATTTCGGACAAATGGCTGTCCAGACTCTTCTTAAAAACTTCCAGTGTTTTCTCCCCCACCCATGCATCCTCTCCAAACCTTGCCTCCCTCATTCATGCATCTTGAATATAATCTTCGATCCTCCCCATGCCTCTTTCACACCCTTGACTCCCCCCCCCACATGCCCTCTCTCACCTATCAACTGCCAATTACTTGCAACAGATCACTTGCAAGTCTCCTGGGACTTGCAACTTCTTGCAAGGTTCCCCACTGATTTGGTTGTCAAAAGCCTCGCCTAATCACCTGGGATTCAGTTAACATCACTGAGCAATGGTGGTGCAGTGGTTAGAGTACAGCAGAGGTCCCCAACCTTTTGGGCACCAGGGACATGGAGGCAGGTTTTTCCACGGACCGGAGGGGGCTTGGTTTCATGTAGTGCCTGCATCCCGTGGATGGGGCTTTGTTTGTTTATGTGGACCGGTTGCTGGCATGCTGCGGCCCGGTAACAGTCCATGGACCAGGGGTTGGGAACCCCTGAATTACAGTACTGCAGGTTAATTCTGCTGACTGTCAGCAGTCTGATTCTCACTGGTTCAAGGTTGACTCAGCCTTCCATCCTTCCAAGATGGGTAAAATGAGGACCCCGATTGTTGGGAGCAATATGCTGATTAGAGAAGGCTGTAAAGCAGTGTGAAGCGGTATATAAGTCTAAGTGTTAATGCTATTGCTAACAACTACAACCAGGATTACTATTGCTAAGTGATGTTTTTTATGACTGCATCACTTAGTGGTGGAAATTCCAGTCCTAACTGCCTTGTAAGTTGAGAACTACCTGTGATTTTCAGGGAAAGGAGAAAGCAACCCACCCACCCCAAAAAAACCCTGAAGTTTGTGAAATCTGTGAAAGAAGCTACTCTATCAACTGAAACGAAACACTTTTCATTTATTAAGATTTAAGCAAGAAAACATAGAGGGCTCACTTGTTGGAATGTCCTCCAAATCTTTTATGATGAGTGCTGTAATTTTAATGACATTTAAAGTCATTAACATTAATATTAACTGAACTCGTTTAGATGCATTTTTATTTTGACCCATCCTGGCTTTTTCGTTTTTTTTGAGTTTTAAGTATTAGGATACTACCCTGTTTTCCACATTTTCTCAAAGAAGGTGAATGGTTATAAATAACCGTGAGTGGCATAGTGGTTGAAGTGCAGTATTGCAGGCAAAGTCTGCCCACAACCTTAGTTTGATCCTGATGGGGCTCAAGGTCGACTCAGCCTTCCATTCTTCCAAGGTTCGTAAAATGAGGACCCAGATTGTTGAGGAAAATATGGTATCTCTGTAAACTGACCAGAGAGTGCTGTAAAATACTATGGAGCAATATATAAATATAAGTGCTATTGCTATTGCCAACTCAGTCAACTCTAGTTACCAGAGGTGTAGGAGCCAAAATCTCCTCCCTGCCTGAACCCAGAGTTGGGGAAATGTGGGAAATATATCCATCACAGTTTATGTAACCATGGTTAGCTAAATGAACCACATTGGACTGGGTTTGTACAAGATGCCAAGCCAAAGTCAAAATTAGAACCAACCCCTTGATCTATATTTATAAAAAATATCACCCAATCCTGGAAAGTAGACCTCAGTGCAAAGCACGGTAAACTCAGTAGCTAGCTCCCGCAAGTAAACAAACAAATGAAAAGAGGATTTTTCATGCAGTAATCTTTAGAGGCCACAAATCCATTAGGCTTAAAGATTACATAGGAAAAAGCAAAATTAACAAGCTGCCAAACATTCTCTGCCTACTTTGTTGTAGTGCCTCTGCAACAAAAGGAGTTTGCCAAGAAGCTAAAAAATCGAATTAGGCACTATTTTTGGAACCTGAACTTAACCATACCTCAACTCTGTAACCTATCATACCCTAGGTAATGTAAAATTGATTTTATGCAGCCTAAAATTGATCTTCCAGGCTGCAAAAGGGGATCACGTGATCCCGGGATGCTGCGACCATCATAAATATGAACTAGTTGACAAGCATCTGTATTTTGGCCACGAGACTATTGGGATGCTGCAACAGTCATAAGTGTGAAAAATGACCGTCACTTTTTTCAGTGCTGTTGTAACTTTGAACAGTCACTAAATGAACTCTTATAAGCTGAGGACTATCTGTACTTCTAAGTCCATACCCAACTACTACTTGATTTCACCCAGTGCCTGAATTTGGGGAGACGTGTCTGCAGAGATAACAGCCTTGGTTTCATTAATATCCTCCAGTTATACAAGCATATTTCTATTTGTTCATCCTGGCAAACATAAAACCCAGCCTTCCAAATTTAAACTTAAAACACTGCCACTGTGTGTGAAGAAGCATTCATCTTGAGATGTCAGCTTGCTAATTATAAACACGTCCTAGCTGTGAAGACTCAAGAAGCACCGAGGTCAGGGGAGGTCACACTAGTTCTTAAGAAAGTTCTGAGCTTTACAAAGGATTACATTTCAAGGCTTTCCAGAGACCTGGAAAAAATATTCTTGAGGACAATTCCTTCTAAGAGAAGAGAAAGGGGATTTTTCAATTCCTCTGGAATTTTTGACACCAAACATTGCAAAACTGAGGGGTTTTGGTTTCTCCTAAGCCTGTCTATTCCACACTTATTCTAGACCAGTGTTTCTCAAACTTGGCAACTTTAGGATGTGCGGACTACAACTCCCAGAATTCCCCAGCCAGCCTTCAAGCCCATACATCTTGAAGTTGCCAAGTTTGAAAACCAATGGCTTACTGTGTTGTAGGAACCCACCCATTATGGTCAGTAATTGAAGGTCTGTAGAATGCGCTGTGCAAACCAAATCAAGACTGAGCAAAGCTTGGTATGTCTTATCCTAGAAGGCAAAATTAATTGTGGGTGTCTAGTTTGTTACAATTAAGACATTTGTTTGGATCTCTACACTAAACCAGTATTTCCCAACTTAGCAACATTAAAATGGATGCACTTCAACTTCCAGAATTCTGGGACTTGAAACCGTTAATTTCATGCAGTTTATTTAACCATACATCCTTAATTTCTAAGGTTGAGAAACACTGCTCTACCATCTATATTTTCTATTAGTGAGCTTGCTGAATAAGTCTTTCAGCCCTAAATTGGCAAATTTTGAAAACCAATAAGTGGCTTGACTATTTTAGCAGAAAATAAACGGAAGTGAGGGCACTTACTCAGATATCCTAGCACTGATGTCCTAACATTGTCCTAGGTGTACTAGCAAAAGAGGATTGTAAGAAATGGAGATTCCTGAATGATAACACAAATCCCATTTATGCAGTCTCAAAATAGAACTGGAGTCACAATCCTCCTTGTGGCTTAAACAGGAATAACTTCATTCACACTGAAGTCTGAACTAAACCATAAAGCCTGTTGGCTTGGATCCCTAACTGCCATAGGAAGCTTATAATCAGAAGCATAAAGGAGACAGATCAGACTTCTTTTTCTCATTACCATGTGTGTTTCCTTTTTCACTGTTCTCTAGCAAACCATTCAAAAAGCAACTTATACTTTTCACCTTCTTGTTTTTTATACAGGATAAACAGGAGATTATTTTATATACTGAACATTCGTTCTTTTATTTAAAATATTTATCTAGCTATAACCAATTCAACAAGTTAAATCTGGGGAGTTTACAACAAAAAATATTCAAGAAACCTAATGAAATATATATATAAAACTGCCATTGGAGGCTTGCAAACAATAAGGAAACAATAGAGCAATAAAAGAATCAAAACAGCAATAACAATGTTACCTCATCTAATGTTTAATTAAAAAAACCTCTAAGGGACCCACTAAAATCCCAACCAATCCCTGGCTCAAGACGAATTATTACCATCAACCCCAAATCATAGTGATTTACAGACCCTAAATTAATTGTGAAAGAACATGGGTGGAATTTTTGTACCAAAAGCTCGTCCATGCTGGTCTGGCATTTCTCAAGATTGATCCTTTTAATTGCCACTTTTTCCTTCTTAGGGCTACAATAGGCTGCTTGGACCACAGCTGTTGCTCCACTTCCTGAAAAAGAACCACAAATACAAAATTAGGAAGGCAGATTTGCTCCAAAAAGGAGAAGTTAGACAATACTAGCAACAATTACACCTAGTCCTCAACTTACAGCCATTTGTTTAGTGACTGTTCGAAGATATGACAGTGCTGAAAAAAGTTAGGTCCTCGCACTTATGACCAGTCCTTGCACTTATGGCCATCACACTATTCCCATGATCGCAATTCGGGCACTTGGCAAATGACTCGCCTTTATGACTGGCTGCAGTTTCCTATAGTCACATAATTGTGATATTGTTAAGATATTTAAATTTAGTAGCAGTGAGGTTGTACAATGAGCCAGAACACACAGTTAGAGTTGATTGATTGGAGAGTGCTGGCTCCCTCATGAGGCAATGTGTGGTGTGATTGGTTGCTGTGGAGGGGGAGGGGGAGTTTCCCTTTTTTCCTGCCTTTTTTTTTCTGTGTGATCTGTGATTTACCTCATGATGCTCCACTTTGTCCGACTATCTTGTTTGCTGTATATACAGATGTAAAATATATTTATTTATATAAAACAAGCTCACGGCAACGTCTCTGACTCCATTTGGACACCTGATGTGTAATTCCATGACAGATATGCAACCTTTTTTTGCCCATTTCCAGCAAAAACCACCTGTTGGAAAAATGGGATCGCACTTACGACTGCAGAGTTCGCTTAACAGTCATGGATTCACTTAACTGGCATGATTCATCCATTTCCACTCCCAATTTTGGGCATAAGTGAAGGACTACCTGTACCTATTTGTTATTCAAACACAGCCTTTAATCAAAATGTGCCAGCTTAACATCATCTACAAACACTGATTACTTGTGCAAACTTCAATTACATACTAAAGATTCTTTCCCTAGGATATTTTTCAAGCAAAACAACTGTTCCCATAAAGGGACTCCTCAAACGCCCTTCTGCCTTTTATACACAGAGGTAAAACCTTAAACATGAACTGCAAAACTGTATTTGGCGCAGCTAACCTAAACAATGTAAAGCTAATAAACAAATATATATATTAAAAAAAGGAGAAGCAATGCCAGGAAAGGCAAAAACTTAGCTGAGAGAACACCTTCAACAAAGCAGATCAGCATAATACAACAGATCAAAGGGAAATCCATTCCCATTTTGACAAAACATCATCAGGCTTAACACCAGTTTTTCCCAATCAAATGTTCAAACTGGCTGGCTTTGAAACTGATTTTAATATTAAAAAGCAGGAAAAGCATCTGTCTATTTATTTCATCCATCCATCACTAAAACTCTAATTGTCTTTAACTGTTTATCTGTTTGTACCTTCATGTTAACTCAAACGCTACGCTATACTGTAAGAATTCTTGAAGCAAGGTCCCTAAAAGCCACTAGCTTACAGAATGTATTAAAAATCCAGGACGTCTCTGGAATTGAAATTCCCACAATGTTCAATTCAGTCTTATTTGCAAAGTTCTGGTCCTTGTGGCATCCCACAGTCACATGGTCATGATTTCCAACACAAGATTCAGCTTCCTGCAAGCAAAGTCAGTGGGGAAGCCTGCAGGAAATCAAAAGTCAGTCCCACTCCCACTGCATTTTTGTCTACAAAAAGTAATTCTGTTCCTCTTAAGTAAGAAAATGTTGACATTATTGAAGTTCATTTGCCATTACAATTATTTTTCTATTTACAGTATATATTCCTAGGTTAGGCATATCCAACTTTCTTTCTTCTCCCTCTTTTTTCCTTCTTTGCTTCCCCTTCCCTTCCCTCATCCTCCCTTCCCTTCCCTCATTCTTCCCTCCCTTCCTTCATCCTTTCCTTCCTTCTCCTTCCCTTCCCTTTCTTAAACCTTCCCTTCCCTTCCTTTTCTCATCATCCCTTCCCTTCCCTCCCTTTATCTTTCCCTCCCCTCTTCAACTTATTTTTGTCCTGCCTAGCCCTTCAATTAAATTTGCAACGAAAGAGAATCTTAAAAAGTAGGATTCCTGGGTAAAATACTTTGCGAAAAATACTTTGTACTGTCAGAGACAAATGGATGGGACCTTTGGCATACATACCACCACTAACACCACCCCAGAAAAAAAAAAACATGCTTCTACCAAGCCCAAGGAAGGCACACAGACAAACGCAGAAGAAAAATGTAAATACAGACATCACTATAATTTCTTAAGTGGCTGTGTTGTTCCAGAATGTACTCAGGAGCAGAAAGAACAAATGGAGAGTAGGAGCACAAACAGAGAAAAGAAGATATTGCGGCACATATTCAAATGCAGGCAGTCCTTGACTTACAACCATTCGTTTAGTGGTTGTTTAAAGTTACAACGGCACTGAAAAAAGTGACTTATGGCTGTTTTTCATACTTACGACCGTTATAGCATCCCCATGGTCACATGATCAAAATTCAGCTGCTTGACAACCGACTCATATTTATGACGGTTATATGCGTTCCATTTTTGTGATCTTCTGATGAGCAAAGTCAATGATGGGGGAGATGGATTCGCTTAACAACCGTGTTACTAACTTAACTGCAGTGATTCACTTAACTTTGGTGAGAAAGGTCGTAAAATGGGGGGAATCACTTAACACAGGGCTTTTCAACCAGTGGTACGGGTACCACCTGTGGTACATTGGCACCTGGCAGGTGGTATGCGACCATCCTAGAAAAGTGGTAGTGGGGGAGGGGAATGAGCTGAACTGGTGGCAGCACCGCACAAGCCTGAGCGAGAGATGGCTGGAGCTGCAGGGCTGTCAGGGCTCAGCAGAAGCACCAGGATCAGCGCTTCTTTGGGGTTGTCAGGGCTCAGTGGAAGCGCCAGGATCAGCGCCAGGCTCCAGCTGGAAAGCAGCACTGATCCTGGTGCTTCTGCTGAGCCCAGAAGAAGCTCTGATCAGCTGGAATGTTGCAGCATCTCCAGGGTCTTGTGATTTACATTCAGATGCTTGGCAACTGATTCATATTTATGACGGTCACAGTGTCCCAGGGTCATGTGAAGTGACCAAAACCTGCTGCAACCACCCAGCAGACGGGGGGAATAAAAACCAAACACCCCCACACCCCACCCCCGCTGCCAATCCTCAACAGAAATGCTCACAGCAATGAAAACCTCGGACAGGAGGAAGAGCGCGGCCGGGTGGCAGGCAGGTGTCTTGCTCGGCTGTGCCTTGGGGGGCACTTTTTTCAGTGCCATTGTAACTTCAAACAGTCACTAAGCAAACTGTTGTAAGTCAAGGACTACCTGTATTTTATCACTTCCCCCCCCTTTTTGTCATCAAGTTTTTGACACCTTTCTAGGCGACTGGTGGTACTCGGATGCTGCCATATCCTAAAAGTGGTACAATGGGTGAAAAGGTTGAAAAGCCCTGACTTAACACATCTCGCTTAACAACAGAAATTTGGGCTGAGTTGTGGTTGTAAGTCGAGGGCTACCTATATTCCTCAATGATATTATTCCTTGTCTGTTTATTGCCCTTAAACAACAACAACAAAATTACAACAATTCAAAGGCTGACAACGAATGTTTCAAAATGAATCCATTTCCTTAAATCAGAGGTAGACATCTCCTTCCAAAAATGTGTTTGCATGCTAAAAGAAACTCTATTAACATAATCCGTAAATTGTTCTTGCAGCGAAAGAGGCAGGTAGACAAATTGATTTGAAAGGATGAATCACCTATTCAGAGGCAACCAAAGGATCCTCCCAGCAGATTAAACAATATTGTTTAGATAGATAGACATTTATTAGAAGGCTGTTGACAGATTTACTGCTACTGCTGCTGGATTATTGGAGCTGACTTTTATTGCCTAAACTGCTTTACTGATATTATTTTTGTGGCTAGGGTGAGCTGGCCTGAATGTCCAGAGAAAGGATTCAAACATGTGGAAGAACCAACAGAGCTTATAAATCTTGACTGGCATTCAATCTCATTTTTACTGACAAGAGAAGTCTGCCATTTCAGGGTAAACGTTCAATACACAATAAAGACACATTCCAAACTACTTGGGAGGCTTCCTCCATGAAATATCAATCAATCAGAACAGAGCTGGAAGGGACCATGGAGGTCTTCTAGTCCACCCCCTACTCAAGTAGGAGATCCTCATGATGTAAGATAAAAACCAAGAAAATCCAGCTGCCTTTTGGAAAAAAACACCTTTGGGATAACCATGATCTGAATGACTGAGAATCTCCATAGCCATAAATTCCACAGTTTGATTGGAATCAACCCAATACCACCTTCTCTATTAAACACAGTTATACATATTTTTATCCTGCCTCTTGGTTTTTTAAAAAAAAATTGTGCCTTTTTCTCCTCAGGACATTTTTCCAATTATGCATCTCTCCCTTTTTTTTGCACTACAGCTGGTCCTCGACTTACAACAGTTCATTTAGTGACCGTTTAAAGTTACGACGACACTGGAAAAAGTGACTTATGACCATTTTTTACAGCTATGCCTGTTGCAGCATCCCCTTGGTCATGTGTTCAAAATTCGGATGCTTTGTAATTGGTTCATACTGTATTTATGATGGTTGCGGTGTCCCTGAGATCTGTGATCACTTTTTGCGACCTTCTAAGAAACACAGTCAATGGGGAAGCCAGATTCACTTAACCACCATGTTACTAACTTAACAACTGCAGTGATTCGCTTAACAACTGTGGCAAGAAAGGTTGTAAAACTCACGTAACAAATGTTTCACTTAGCAACATAGATTTTGGGCCCAATTGTGATTGTAAGTGGAGGATTGCCCGTATTCGCTATCTTTTCTATGGGACTGAAGGCATGGAAAAAAATTAGGGGTGAACGGAACCCGCAGTCCATTTAAACCAGCAGCTGCCTCTGGAGGTGGAAGGCATTGCACATTTTAAGCCCCCAGAGGCTCAGACATCATTTGTTACTTTGGTCAAATCCCAGCTCATGACACGGACATAACTGCCAACTGCCAACATAACTGCTGAATAATAGTCCCCCCCCCCACAGCCATTGTGCGTTAGATAAAACAAGGATATTTCACAA